GAACAAACATTTTCAAGTGGATGGTAACGCCTTTGAAAATGATAGGCTTATTTATATTATTTAAAAAATAATGAGAACAATGTACAAATGAATGATATGCCAATAGGATTTACCTATTTGACTGTTATTATTTTACTTTTATAATTGTTATTTAAAGATAAAAGTCAATATACTGTAAATACATTCATGTCTTCTATAACATTTTCATAAACCGTTGAAATAAAAATGTAAGGTGTTACTATTATATTATTATTATTATTACAGCTTCGAAATGCTTTGAAGGGATTTGAATTAATTTGTACCCTCGAAGTATATTTTCAGGTTAAAATATTCTGATTTTATACGTTTTTTCCTGCACGTTTAAATAAAAAGGCTGCCACATGGGAAAAAAGAAGTTCTATTTACTTCATGTTGATTTAGTAGAATAAAGAAAAGGTATCCCCGTCTCTTGTCAGAAATATAATCTCACACTCGAATGTATGCCGTAAGTTTATTTTTCTTTGGGTATATCTTGTGTCCAAAGATTCGTATTTTCCAAATCTAAACCAAATACACTCTAGAAACAAACATCCTACTCGTTTTTTATTACACACACAGTCATAACAAATAAAAATCGAGATGATGATCTTATTTTCCACTATCATATCCATACAAATACATATATAATCCGTTCACAGGAGGAAGTTGACATACACTCTATAGTATTCTTGACATTCAGATAATTTTATCCAGCAAAAGTGAAACATTTCGGCGGTAGAAGCGGTCGGAAATAAAAAAAGAATTATAAGTAAACCTAGTAAAAATACTGCTTTGGTTATAATGTTTTGATAACAGTCTGAAAAAAATTTTCCCTTCGAAGTCATTCATAAAATACATTGTTCAGAATTTCAACTTTTTGGACCACTTCCTTCCCTTCTTCGTCACGCTAAGTCATTCTTTCAGTGACCCGTTTAACAAATATTATATCACAAAAGCTAGTTTCTCTCTCTACAAACGATTACTTATGAATCAAAATTACAATGAGAATGACTTTTAGCTGCCAAGTTAAGAAAAATAATAAAATAAAATTGATAGACTGCAAACATCACATTTCCTTAGACCCCGTACCCATTGCGAACGTATTTTATGAAGGACCCCTTCTTCGAGCATAACCTCCAATAGCTTTTTTCTTCGATTCTGTATGAAAATTCAGTTCTTTTTGGCGGGAATATTTTCCAGAAATTCTCTTTAGATATTACAGGTATTTTAAAAAATACAACGTGTAATTATACAACACGCTACTGAAGTGAAACTACTTCAAACACACAAACATACCGTGGTAGGGGTTAAGGAATTGGTTTAATGGTATTATCTGTACATTATGAATTTAAATTTTACACTATACATGCCGGAGTTGCCTGTAACGAACGTTGCATTGAAGCGCGCTCACGGCTCAAGCGATCCCCACTACGAACTCGACTACGTGGCCGAGTAGAGGGGAGACATTCGTTGCATGATTTCGTTACATAGCAACTCGCATGAAATGAACTTACACTACCGTGCGTAAAGAAGTTTCACTTCAAATATAGGCTATGCAACACTCTTCTTTAGAAAAAAATCCGGACGCAGCTAAAAATCAATTTGAAATTTGCAATTTGAAGTAAGGCTTGCACATGCTGCAAATGATAGAGATGCAGCAACTATTCCTTTAAAATTTGCCACACTGGCAAATGAGAAGGACTTACGATTCGAACTTACCCTACCGCGCGTAAAGAAGTTTCACTTCACAATTTTAAAATTGAACATCTAGTTTTAGAAATTGTTTTGAACAACCAAAAAAATACTTACCAAGAATTATAATTTCAGTACAGACTTTGTCGCAGACAACTTCAAATTCAAGTGTGTATCTGTTATATAAATGATTACCGAGAAAGAAACTCTTTTAAAATAGA